CCTGCGCGTCTGGAGCCTGTGCTCCGCAACAAGAGAGGCCGCGACAGGGAGGGGCCCGCGCACCGCGATGACAGAATTTTCCCCATACCTCTGCTCAGTTTTAAATCTCTGGAATATTGAAAATATTTTCTACCTTTAAAAAGATCATCACGGGCTTCCCTGGTGGCGCAGTGGTTGAGAATCCGCCTGCCAATGCAGGAGACACGGGTTCAAGCCCTGGTCCGGGAAGATCCCACATGCCGTGGAGCAACTAGGCCCATGAGCCACAACTACTGAGCCTGCGCGTCTGGAGCCTGTGCTCCGCAACAAGAGAGGCCGCGACAGTGAGAGGCCCGCGCACCACGATGAACAGCGGCCCCCGCTTGCCACAACTAGAGAAAGCCCTCGCACAGAAACGAAGACCCAACACAGCAAAAATAAATAAATTAATTAATTAATAAACTCCTGCCCCCAACATCTAAAAAAAAAAAACACATACACAATTTTCCCCAGGCATGTGAGTAAATAAATTACTCTGCCTCAAACTTAGCATATCACTTGGATATAGTTACATGTGTTAGTTCAATTTCAAAGTCATGCCCCCAACGTCAGTATAATTTTAACATTTTCCATTCAAGCTTAAGTGTCAGTTATAAGTCAGGATTCTGATTTTCCATCTTTTTCCCCCCCCGTCAACCTGTTAGATAGGTCAGAGTTCTTAGTTGCAAACTACAGAATCCACTCTGACTAGTTTAAGTAGAAAGGAAATTTATTGAAGACTATTAGACAGTTCCAGGATCTCTTGAGACCCATAAAGCCAGGCTCTGAAGAAGCCAGAAGCATGGTGCAAGTACACTGGTAGCACTGCTCTGGCAAAAACACCACTGCCCCTACCCTGCAGAAGACAGCAGTGCCCCATGATCCTTGCCTTCCATTTGGCATTTCCAGGCTGCTGGTATCTCCCTTCCAACAGCCCCTAGAAGCCCATCAAAGAGAGCAATGGGCTGGAGAGATTCGAGCTGCTCGATGGGGCCCCTCTGCAGTCTGCTGGTTTCTGCTGTCCAGGACAGCAGGACTGACATGCCCTATGTTGGATACCGGAAAGCACAGAGAAGTTTTCTGCATGTTTTGCTGGTTCTCACCCAACTTTCCAGTAGAATGTAAACTTTTAAGGGCAGAGACCTGCTCGTCACTTTTAAGTAGTCACATACTGATTTTTTATTATCTGCTACATGCACCAACAAATATTTCTGAATGCCTACTCTGAATTTGCCATGGTGCTGGGTGCTGGGGATATAAACTGTGGACTAGATAGAAAAGCGTCTTCTCTCACAAGCTTACGTTCCAGCCAGCGCTGAGTGACAGCAAATATATAAACAATCATGATTTCAGGTGAGGCAAGAGGCAAGGCTACCTTCAAGAGGGTGGTCAGAGAAGGTCTCCATGAGGGGCTGATGGTGGGAATAAAATGCTAAGGATGAGAAGGATCCAAGCATTTGAAGAGTTAGGGGAAGAACAGTCCTGGAAGAAGGAATATCACACAAGGAGGAAACAGACTGACTCACTGGCTCTGGGGCTGGAGCATGATGAGCGAGCAGGGGAGTGAAATGTTTGCATTTTAATCCGAGCACATTGAGAAGCCACTGGAGGCTGTGAATGGCAGGGAGTGACAACATCTGGTACACACTTTGAAGGATCACTCTGGGTGGTGAGGGGAGAACACACCATAAGGGAGATAAACAGAAACATTAAGAAGGTGAGTAACGCAGATGGAAGATGATGGTGGATTGGAGCAGGGCGGTCGAAAGAATGGGAGGTGGGCACATTTGGGATACGCCTCAGAGTTAGACTCGACAGGAATTACAGATTGGCGGTGGGAGGTGGGAGGTGAGAGCAAGAGGAGAATCAAGGATGATGCCCAGATTCGCGGGCTTGAGCAATAGAGCAACTGATGCTGACAGTTACTGAGATGGGGAAGAGTGGTCGGGGGCGGGGCGGTTTGAGTTCACATTTTGACAGGCTCACGTGCCAGTGTCTACGGGACTGGATGGGGTGAGTAGATAGTGCCGTGTATCTGAGTGGAGCTCGGAGGAGACGCCAGGTCTTGTGTTGCCCCACACTGAGCACTCTGAGAGGGGACATGAACTGTACCAGACACAGCTTGGAAGAAGGAGTTAAAACAGAAGGTCTTGTCAATCAGTCCTTGTGTGTCTCCAGGGGAGCCTGGCATCATAATTGACCCTTGACCTACCCCGGGGACTATAGCCCTCAGAAGGCTTTTTTATGTCTCTGATTGACCTTGTTGTTTTACGTATCTGTCCAGAGAAATGGGGCGTGTTTGTACCAGTTCAGGAGGACCTCTCAGGAGTGTTTTGAGAAGAGCCATGATGTACCTGCTTTCGATGCTGGAGTCCTGAGTTTTGTTTCATAAACACCTCAGACCCTGAGACTTGGTGGACTCTCCTGGGCACAGACATGTCACAGGTGTCCCTGTAGTTTGCTGTGAGCTGCTCCTGTGTGGCCCTGGGTAGGGAAGAACTTGGAAGCCTGTGCCTGAGCAATGCGTATATTTTTCCCACTGCCTTTCTCTGTATCCTTTGCTGTAAGAAACCTTAGCTGTGACTAAAACCCACTGTTGAATCTTATGAGTCCTTCTAGTGAATCACCCAACTTGAAGTGGCTGTGAGCCCCCCGAAACACAGCCTTTGCCCTCAAGGGGCTTAAGCTTTGGCTGAAGAGGAGAAAGGAAGAAACATGAAGCAACAGTGACCCAAGCAGGACAATATATTTATATAGCATAGTCCGCCCGAGGACAGGGAGTAAGTCTTTATTCATCTTTATATCCCCCAAAGAGGGCTGGGGAACTGCAAGGGCCTCGGTAAAAGTTGGCTGAACTTCACGCAAGAGGTGGAGCTTCCTGGATGGTGAGGATTTTCAATAAGCTAAGAAGAGAGGGAAGGCCTGCCAATTGGAGAAAACAACTTGATGGAGGCCCAAAAGCAAGAACAGGCAGGGTTTGTTTGTAGAAAGCTGTCCTCTCAGTCTCCCTGCTCCACAATGCCTGGCTCAGTCACCAAACAGTGGGCATTTAATAAAGTCGGCCACTTGTCAGGTATCCGGGCCCAAGTTTGCTGCCACACCCTCTCCAGCCTCCACCCCTGCTTTTCTGGGCAGCGCTAAGGATGAGAGGTGAGGGCACAGCTTATTCCTCCTGCACCCGCTCAAGTCACTTGCAAGAGAGTAAACTGCGGCTGAGATGTCTAGTTCCAAATCTTACTGCAGCACAGTTAGCTGGGCTGATCTCCCTGTGATTCTGAGATAAAATTCCAGATGGGACTACAATACCTCTATTAATCCTGAATTCCATGTCAGTTCCAAAATCAAAACTCCCAGAACTTAGGCATCTCTAATACAATCTTGCCCAATTCCCTGGGCAGCTTTCAAAAGAAATAGATTCATAACTTCTTCACCACAAGAGAGGCTCAGGTGAAGGGAGATATGGAGACCAAGGAAAAGAGAAGGCACTCTCAAGAATGGACCAAAACATTTCTGTCTGCATGAACAGGAAAGAGAATGGAAGGACGAGCACTTGGACATTACAGAGATCATCGAATGCAACCGTTGCCCCTCCCCCTCCAACAGATGAAGAAGAGATTTGTCTAGCATGGAAGCAACCTAAGTGTCCACCGACAGATGAATGGATAAAGAAGATGTGGCACATATATACAATGGAATATTACTCAGCCATAAAAAGAAACGAAATTGAGTGATTTGTAGTGAGGTGGATGGACCTAGAGTCTGTCATACAGAATGAAGTAAGTTAGAAAGGGAAAAACAAATACCATATGCTAACACATATATATGGAATCTAAAAAAAAATGGTTCTGATGAACCTAGGGGCAGGACAGGAATAAAGACGCAGACATGGAGAATGGACTTGAGGACACGGGGAGGGGGAAGGGTAATCTGGGACGAAGTGAGAGAGTGGCATGGACTTATATACACTACCAAATGTAAAATAGCTAGTGGGAAGCAGCCGTATAGCACAGGGAGATCAGCTCCGTGCTTTGTGACCACCTAGAGGGGTGGGATAGGGAGGGGGGGAGGGAGGGAGACGCAAGAGGGAGGGGATATGGGGATATATGTATATGTATAGCTGATTCACTTTGTTATAAAGCA